GTAGATCTAGTGATGTTCTCACATTGCACACGGAGGACTGTGCCTGCACCGTTGTCTGATACAAATTAACTCATCAGCCGGAGTGGTCCACATGACTGTGTTACACTGAGGCAATACCGTGGACAAGACGATCGGGTGTCACGATAATCGATCAGCGCTGGAATCTTGGTGTCATTTGTGACAAATGTCATTGCCAGTCGTACAAGTGCGAAATAGTGCCAAACATTGTAAGGCACATATATCTCAGCGCGACTTGGGTGTATAATAATCTGTTATTTCAAATTTTATGAAGTCTGTCAACATGATTCTACGTTGTAAAACCTGGTAATGATAGGACATCAGATTCAGAACAGCGAATTTTTAAAGTCCCTATACCATCCATCTGGCAGTGTCAGACCGTCTGCGTGACTTACCTCTTATTCACCCATTCGATGTTATCTGAGCTATATTGTTGGTGAATAACCTCGTAATCCTGCTCCGATCAACATAGATTCCCAGCTTAGTGCAAAATAATCCTACACTGTCACACAACCTGATTGTGAATAGCAGCCTATTACACCGTGCCGCATATAAGATTAGAAAGAAATTGGACGACGTTTTTGTCCTTCATCATGGGATAGTCAGTGTTCAGTTCTTATTACGAAGGTCCGGGATCGGACTTCGGTGCAATCCTAATGTGCCTAACACTGTTTGGGGGCATTTCGCTGGGAATCTGTGATGATCGGAGCACGATTACGAGGTTGCAACTGCACTCTAAAATGTTTCGGTTATTGTTGTTGTTCTATGAAACGCCCTATTGAACCGCTGTTCGCTGATGGGGTGGTTTACGCATTTAACTACTGGCAAGGGTGCGGAAAACGAACGACTGCTCCCGGCGGCATAACCAATGGCTACACAGCTGCTGTTAATATATGGGTGATTTTGTGGAAATTATTTCCCTTGAGATCGTGGTAAACATAGGCTGTACATTCCCTACGTGCTATGACACTGCGCATTGATCATCATGCCACTCAGTAAATCGGCGGCCATTCGCCCGCGCTGGTTTTACGTGTCAGGCACGATCAACGACCACAAACTCAACCCATGGCGGTCAAGCGTGCTATGTCCTGATAAAAATCGTTAACCACTGGCTCACCAAAAGCCAACAGAGATACGCGAGAAACCATAATTGCAAGCCACGCATCCGTATTTAGGTGTGAATCTATTTCTCAAGCTCTCGCGCGGTTGCACTACAACGCGGCAGCGAAACCGGTTATGCAGCGCGAGCACGCGCACTATGTCCCCTGGGCGCCACGGCGTTCCCCCGAAAGCAGAACTGCAGTGTATAAAGTGCACTCTGACCCGACATCACACTAACGTAAGCATAACACTCATCCACTTGCCGGTGGTACAGTGAGTTACATATCACTTATTTTTGGTGCATGAATCCCTTGTGGATTTTTTGATGCCTTTCAATAACTCTAAGTATTTCGGTAATTCACTTTGCAGACATCCTAGTTTTCGGAATTCTGAAACCCTATCTGCATTGTCTAAGGTTCTTCGTGAACGAGGAAGGCGCGATACACACTAGTACGAAGTAGACGATACGTTACAAATATCACTCGCACATGTCTCATTGGAAGCCAGTCCCGTGTCATTGACTAACGCTGGACATCAGATATCGCTGCGACCCCCCGTACGAATGTCTAACCATGGTTGGCGGCATCCGGTTTCGGATTTGCCTGTCACTGTGGCAAGCCACAGGACGCCTGCGCCTACAGAGGGACCACGGGTGGCTTGCGCTGCACCACCCACAGCTCCAACCACACACCCCATATCCAGTGTAAACCCGAAGGAATAAGACCGGGAGGCATGCGGATGGGAACCACGTTTCATCAACGGAGCCGGCCCACACTCCTTCACAGGCAAACACAAGCACACTGTATTTGGGGAATCAAGCGCACACAAGGCGGTGGCTGGACCGTAGTCCGTTCCACACTGAGTGCATGGAACCACTCTTCGAGCCTAGCACGGCCACAAGGACCGTGCACCCCGTCCCCCCCAGCAACGAACAACTGTCTCCTGGAGCCAGTATGGACGAGGTAGTGGGTAATAGACAGGTAGGCACCTTGTCAACATGCACATCAAGCGCAGCCACACCGGGGATAGCACGCAACAGCCAATCACTTGAAACGACAAAATGAAATAACATAAATCCAATAATGCATACAGATACGGTGGCATAACTCTTCGCTAAGTTAGCATATGAAGTAAGTTGGTTAGCAATGAATCCGTGATAAGGAAAAAATGTCCACAAGTTACTCAAAAATGCTACAAACGCAACAAAATTACCGAAGATAAGCGCAATTAGCGTAAGCGACGTGGCCAGCTAATAGAAGACTATTCAGATAGGCAAAACTAACCAAATAAACTGGAATGAAATTTATGCAGCTTAAAGAGACCTAGTTTAAGTGTAAGTTGGTTTAGCCCAACTGCATACATACTTCGCCGAGACTTTGAATTTGCTCGTGTCCCTACTCGCTCCTAGTGGTATATGCTATACAATCAGATGTCTAAAGTGATGAGCCGGAAATGTAATCAAAGCACGTCATGTTTTTCAAACAATTAGGAAAATGTACACGGATGTGTCGAATCGCAGTACGACATCCCACAACACTGATCTCACTGGTTGCTGTCCTGGCAATGCGTACCAGAAACCGCAACCTCCATTCCATTTGCATCATGAGATTCTAGGGATCCCCGGTCAGAAGTTCATCGTACTGCATTCGAATTTCATTCTTCACTCGAGCCTTCACCACCTGCCAAACATTTTCGATGGGATTGAGGAATGGGGAGTATGGGCTCAATCTCAGAATGGTAACCCCTTCGTATCCTTCGACTGACGCAAGTGCTTCCAAACGTGTGTGACATGGTGTGTTGTCACACACTACGACCACCTGCCGGAGCTCCACTTCCCGCTTCAGCTTGTCCAAAATGCCTCGCAGCCATTCGAGAGTTAGGGGGCCAGCGAATGAGCCTCTCCGGGTAGTCATCGAAATGTTCCCATCCATCATGAGTGCGCCGATGAGATGCAAATTCAGGCCTCTACTGTTGGATACTTTGACACAGGCCCGCACTCCTCTGGGCGCCCGCCCATGAGTACGTTTGCAGTAAACGTTGAAGTTTGTTTCGTTGATCCATATGAAGAACTTTTCCTTACTTTCAAGTTCGAGAAACTTTTGAACAAACTCCATGCGTATCTCTTTGGTTCGGGCATTGTTCATTCTTTCTGAAGTCTGATAGGTGTTCGTCATAGTTATCAAACGGCCATCCAGGTGTCGTGCGATTGTAGACTTTGAAATGTTCTTATCCATATTGGCACGTACTCGGACTCGCATTTCGTGTAGTGTTAGAGTTGCGTCCTTCGCGATCCACTCCAGGATGTCATCAATCTCTTCCTCCGACAGAATGCGCTTACGACCGCGCGCCTGCCTAGTACCCAGCTTCTAATCAAGAGAGTGACGAATCCAGGAATAGGCAGTTTGGTACTTCACATTGTTCACGGTGGCCACGAGCTGCCAGTCGTCACCGTTGACGAAGACATCCACAGCTCGGTCAGGAATGTCTGACGAGATACTCTTTCGAACACGAGTAGGCATGTTGACCATGCTGGAATGAAAGACATCCATTTAGTCGTAGGCTTATATTCCGGCCGTTCATTGCTAGCAGACCAATTGTGGTCCAGCATTTTTGGAGGTGAAGGGGACGCGTAGTAGCTCGTGGCACTGCCCATGTCCATGGACTCGATGTTCATTCACAAGTCTGAACTAGTCAGTAGGCAGCGCGCTCACTTCACTTGACTCAGGCATCAAACACTAGCACCCAACCGAGCGTGTTCGACGCCTTGTTTACGGCCTAGGAAAAGGGAATGAACCGCTCAGCACCGTCATTTCACTCACCAAGCTCCGATGGCTGGGCCACGTGTTGCGCATGCCAGCCCACCGACTCCCTCGACGTGCGTTGTTTGCTCACCGGGGATGTGGGTGGAAGAAGAGGAGAGGTGGCCAAGCGATGACTTGGTCCAGAGGAATGAAGGCCCTCACTTCGGAGCTGGCCTCAGTTGGAGCTTCACGGCTCCCTGGTTGGGGTCCAAAAGACGGTGAACACATTTGGCTGGATACACTTGCTGATATGGCAAGGAGCCGACCTCAGTGGCGTTCCTGCTGTGAGTTTCTTTGTCCCTCCCCACCCCTTTAGCCTCCCCCTCCATCTACGATCTTATTTTGTAGGGTAAAACGTAATTAAATTTTTGTTTTTGCCTAGTAGCCGGCTAGCAGCTTACCGGAACGATGCGTATCCGTTGCTGGTAGCTCAGCTGGCATTCAACTGTCGTATTTATTTTTCCTTTATGTATTGCATGTATGTATGTATTTCCTTTATGTATTGCGGTACAATAGCGGAGGTGTTTTACCATCTCTAGCTGACATGTATAATGATGATGATGACCCAGGCAATGAGAGCACACTTGAGGTCAGTGGACTGGCTCAGAGCGGCTGGCGAATCGCACATGGTTTTGCGAAATCGTGCATTCTTTTTGTAAAATGTTGCGTTTGCTTTGCAAAAGTTGGACTTTATATAAGTTTGCGGGAAATGGTATAGACCAAGCCAGCGCTTGGCTACCTCTCATCTTAGCTTCCATCCACAACCGCGGCGCGTAAACAAGGCACGTCGCGGGAGTTGGTGGACTGGCGTGCGCACATGTGGCGCAGCCATGGGAGCCTGGTGTGTGAAATAGCAGTGCGTAGCGGTTCGCTTCTTCATCCTGTGTCATAAACAAGGCGCCGAAAACGCTTGCACAGCATTAGAGTTAGCTACATTGCCCGTATAAATGTCAACGGTGAAAATTAAAAATATTAGAAAACAGTGACTGTGGAGAAAAGTGAGATACAAGTAGTTATCAATCTCTTGGCTGATTATGCTCCATTAGTTTGTAGCAACAGTGTTGTGATAAACATCCTTACCTTTATGATCGGCGCAACGTTTGATTTACCCAAAACAAACAGTTGTCCTTCATAGATTTTCCGAGCACCAGTTTCACCGGCGTGATCAACACGAATAATCTTATCCAAGAGAGCCGATCGAGTGAGTGCTCGGTAACCCGGCATCTGTGCAAAGGTGGACATTACACACGAAAATAAATGATAAATCGAAAACCCAACGCTAAACAGTCCAATGCATTTACAATAAAAACTACCGCTCAAACACTGAAGAAAAGGACGTGCAAGGTTATGAGTTATGTGTGGAAGTGGGAGAGGAAAGAGGTGTAGCCAATTGTGCACAGACAAAAGTAACTCTAAGGTAGTAAACTGTCAGAAAGGAGGTGTGCAAAAGAAAGTGAAGATTATTTCAAAGTATGTAGAAATCGTTAACAAAAAGAGACCATTAGGTGCTAGTCCGCTGGACGAGCCTGTTTCAGTGGTATACTTTAAGGGCAAATACAAAGTAAAAAACAATATAAGTGAGGAGTTAGGTAAAATACCATTACAACAAAGTAACTCGGCCAAAAGACCGTGTCAACTCAGTCTCTATGAAGCATACAGGCATACGAACGCCCCGGTTGTTCGGTCAGTAATCGAACCAAAGCTCCGTGCCTTTGGGTGTTCAGTTTAACACTTTTGAAGTATTTTTGCTGATTCGTTCCACAAGTTTGCAAGCCAAAGTGTCTAACTCTCGCTGCGGGAAAGAATCAAACGATCATTCCACCCTACTGAGCCTAGTCAGTGGTGCGCAGTTCCTAGATACCCTACAGGGAACCGAGCCCATGATCGCTAGCAGCTTATGCCAATGAGCCACTGGGGACCGTAGCAGACCGTCATAGCTTACAAGCCAACTGGGATAGAGCAAGACCTATCTTCCATTCTCATGCAGTTTACTACCTTTGCAGAGAACAGTGGCTGCCCTCCAAAGGTCACGACTTCCAATACACAGAAGTGCGGATAGCATCTGAAGACTGCGGGTGCAAACTGTTGAATACTAATGAGCGGGAGGATTCTGATGAAATTTTACGTATTAGTACATTAGCTCACTTATGAAGAAAAGTAGAACGTCGGCCCACTGCCATGATCTGTACGCGGCATTATGTTCGGACCGATGACACTTTCAAAGTTCTCTACGCCGTAGCTAAACGCAACCTAAAGGGACTCAGAAAGCGCCTGTTGGCTACATCGGAAGCAATAGCTATTACGCTGCTGTAACCGGAGGTATGCAAGCAGAGGATGCTTGTACAAGCGCTCATGCTGCCTCGGCCGGAACGATTGACGCGGTCCGTACCCCGCATGTCCAGGACTAACCGTGAGCTATGCCCCCACGCTGAATTGCGGAGAGGTTTTTGAACCAAAGGCTTTGATTGAGAGCCCTAATCGTTCTCCTGCCTAGGCATGGGCAGCCTGACAATATCCTGCCCACGCAATACAATGAATCTCGCATCAAACAAATTTCTGACGCTCTGGCCACCGCAGAGGATAAGCAACGGTGCCCTATCTGCTGCATCGGACAGGGTGGATAGGGGTTTGGATGCTACTGCTCAAGCCTTCTCGTCTTCTTATTCCCCTCTTGCGCTTTTTCACCCTTATCGTCCCGCTCCAGCTTCACTTTTATCCCCCCTTTTTTCAGCCCCCCAATTCTCGGCCCTCCCGCACCTCGCTTCAATAGTCGCTTGTCTTTTAGTTTCAAATCACCTGTGAACGCGGAGCGTCATTCCTGCCCTGTCAACAGGCTCATGTCCAACCAAGCGGTCCACCCCAGTTCATCGGCTTGCATTTGGAGCCCTCGATCCTCCTTCAGATTGGCATGCCTCAATGTTCGCACATTGCTACAGCTCGGTTAACAGACAGCACTTGCCCGAACATTAGACACCCTCTCGATCGATATCTGCTGCATATCGGCAACCCGCCAGCAAGACTCGAGCTACGTGCTCACTCTGTAACCCCTTTCAGGTGACACTAGCAGCACTTTCTCATTGCGCCTATCTGGTGACAATGCAGATCCCAGCACCGACCGAGCTGGTGCTGGCATTGCTCTGAGTCCGCGGGCTGAAGCTACTCTGGTTGATTAGATTCCAATCAGTAGCCAAATGTGTGCGGCCCGATTGGCTGGCTCGTTCAAAGATTCGAAGTCGCGTGGGACTAACAGGTTTCTATTCGTTATCGCTACCTATGCACCGACAAACTATAGCGATGACTCGGTAAAAGATGACTTCTATCGTCAACTGAACGAGCTCCTTAGCCACAGCAGAAGCTCGGACGCTGTAGTGCTGGTTGGGGGATCTGAACGTTCAAACTGGATAATTATCAATTGATGAATTGCGTCTGGGCGGCCAACATGGTGTAGGCTCCCGTGTTGATAACGGTGAGCGGTTACTTCATTTGTGTGAGGATGCTCGCTTATTTCTTTCGAGCACCCGCCGGAGGTTGACTTGGCGCCCACCAGCCTCGAACCAGCTATGGATGCAAATCGATCACATTGCCATAAGTTACCGATGGAGAGGCTGTGTACAGAACTGTCGCTCGATTTGGAGCATGTGTAGACACCGACCATGCACTTGTACGTGCTGATCTGCGGATGCGCTTTCACGGACGCCCACGACGACATTGTGACCGCATTGACACCAGCCAACTGGCGAAGCCAGCTGTTCTGAATGCCTATCTAAGTACGCTGTCATTCGAGTTGGATAAACGCTCACTGGATGCAACTGAAGCTCACTGGTCTCATATTCACCAGACCTTACTTGCAGCAGGAAAATCCTCATGTGGTGCGTCTAATCGCCAACATGGACATTGGGTCATTTTCACGGTCTCTGGAACGCATCGATGCCCGCCGGCATATTCCGGCTGGAAGCGAACACAATGAAACTCGCAAAGAGCTCCGGGCAATACTCCGTGCTAGCCTGAAGAGAGACCGCTTCAGAGATGAAAACGGCCGCTGCCCTTGGTAACCATCGTAAGTTATTCCGGCTGATACGAGAATCAGGCAGTAGGTGAACTGGTGTAAGTGAAACAATTCGTGACGAGAGTGAACAGCCTATTCACAACTTGTCAAAACGCTTGCAGCGTTGGGCTGAGCACAGTGAAAAGCAATTTAATCGGTTGGGATTGTTAGATTTCTCGCCGTCCAATGACCGCCCCGCTTCGTGGGCTGTCCCTTTGGATCCACCCACTCACTCAGACGTTGAACTGTTGAAGTTAAATAAAGCCGCGGAACCAGATGATCGTCCTCCAGCCCCCCTTCAAATTCGTGGAATCTTCTCTTTTAGATGATTTACACGAGTTACTAGTCAAACTGTGGAGGCTGGAAACTGTCGCTACCGACTAGAGTTGCCATATCGTAGTCCAAATGTTCAAGGGAGGCTCACGATCGGAATGTAGCAGCCATAGAGCAATCAGTCTGATCTCCACCGCCTCCGAATTGCTTGCCTCTGCCATCCTTCACAGACTGACTTGCACTCGTGAAAGCCAGATTCGTGAGGAGCAAGCCGGATTTCGTCGAAGTCATGGCTGCATCGACTACATCTTCACTTTGCGTCAGTTGTTGGAGCACCGTCACATATTTTGGCGGCCCACTGTTGTCGTGTTCCTCGATATCAAAAATGTATTCGATTCTGTTGATCGATGTACCCTTTCGGACTGTCTACTCAGGAAACGTGTGCCCGAGAAATATGTAGATATTATCCGAGCATTATACGCGCATAGCTCGGGCAGAGTGAGGGCTTACGGCATACTGTCGTCGCCCTTTAATATCTCCAATGGTGTGAGACAAAGATGGCCCCTGACACATTTCCTCTTCAAGGTAGCTACTGACGGATTCATGCAGATTGTGTTTACAGGACACGACTTAGTAGGTGTGGATCTGCGCCCAGGAGAACGACTTCTTGACTTAGAGTATGCTGATGATATTGTCCTTATCCGTGACAACTCACAAACATGCAAAGCTGCACTGGACAGATTAACATTGGCTGTCCTTCAATTCGGGCTTTGCTTCGTACCCTCGAAGTTCAAAGCGTTCCTCCAAGATTTGCGCGGGTCGCCTCCTACGCTGAAACTTGATGGGGATCTTTCAAAAATTCAACTACCTGGGAAGTTGTATCAGCGCCCGTGGGATTGAGGATGAGATCACGAACCGTATAGCAAAAGCTCGAAGTGCTTTTGCTAGTCTTTGCCACCTATGGCGCCGGCGCGACATCACTCTTGCCCTGAAGGGTAGAGTGTACAATGCAGCGGTACGTTCGACCCTACTGTACGGTTGTGAAATATGGGCACTTAAAGCAGCGAACCTGAAGAGGCTAGTTACGTTCGACCACCGGTGCCTTCGTAATTTAGCTCACATCTGGTGTGAACACCGCGTGAGCAACGAGCGTGTTCGACGCCTTGTTTACGGCACAGGAAAAGGAAATGAACCGCTCAGCACCGTTGTTTCACGCATCAGGCTCCGATGGCTCTTCCACGTGTTAATACATGCCAGCCTACCGACTCCCGCGGCGTGCGTTGTTTGCGCGCCGAGAGTCTGGATGGAAGAAGAGGGGTGACCAAGCGATGACTTGGTCCAGAGGAATGAAGGCCCTCACTTTGGAGCTGGACTCGGTTGGAGCGTCTCGGCTCCATGGTTGGGGCCCGAATGACGATGAACATGTTTGGCTGGATACACTTGCTGATATGGCAAGGAGCCGACCTAAGTGGCGTTCGTGCTGTGTTTCTGTGTCCCACCCCATCCCTGTTAGCCTCCTCCTCCAACCACGATCTCATTATTTAGCCTCATATAACTTTACATGGTAATTTTTTTGATGCACAGGAGCCGGCTGGTAGCTTATCGGAACGATGCTCATCCGTTACCGGTACCTTAGTCGGCTCGCACCAGTTGCATTTTCGTTCTCCTTTTTTCTTCTATGTATTGCGGCACAGTAATTGATGTGTTTCCCACCTTGTAGCTAACGTGTAAAATGATGATGTGAGCTTTGCCCCCAAACCAACCGTTTCTTTCTTGTTAGGTTTGCCTGTTAGTGCTTGGGGTGTGAAAACGCGTGACGTTTACCACCTGATTGCATTGATTGATCTATCGAGTGACTCGTTGACCTTCCTTTTAACTGTGACCTAACCATTCACTAATGCAGCTT